TTTTTGAGGCTGTACCAAGGTTTTGTTTTACCATGTACTCTGAATAGTAGAAAGGATTATTATTCTGGGATAATTTGGAAGTGTTATACATTGAGAAATTAGATAGTGTGCATGTCTGGTGAGTTTTCTAAATCAACATTTCTCTTTCTAATACGAGAAGAGAGACATACTGTAACTTACTGAAGCCACCAGTCAACAGAAGTGAAAATGTTAGATAGTTTTAAATATATAATATTCTTACTGAGGTAGAATAATAAAATGTGACACTGATGATTGAAAATGAAAGATGAACCTAAGAGTCAAGATCTGGATACTTCTTTCTTTGCAAAGGTAAATTGAATATTTGAGTATTTTGGGGTGTTGATTGGTAGAGTAGCAAAGAAATATAAATAAATTGAAAAATGATTAAAAATGTTAACAGTAGCTCAGTATAATGACAATTTTAAAAGGAGAGACACTAACTTAAAGTAAATTTGTGCTCAAAACACTGCAGAATTATGTCTTTGAAATAACCAATTTCAAATAAAATGACTGCATAAGTCTCCCTGGGGGGGGGGAGATAGGGAGAGGAAAGGGCAATTTTAGAGTAGGGACATTTCTACTGGGAGGCAGACTTTGATGTACAGAGTTACAGAGAATAACGTGAAGCTATATTGGTCATAGAAGACAGAGTCAGAGAAATGGAGGTAGGCACATCTAAAGCCAAATTTTGTCTATCCCATCCCAGTAAAAGCTATTCCAGGTTTTAGCTAGTCTAGGTAGTATGGCTATCCATCATTCAGTACTCATCTTGTTTAGGTTACATATATTGTCAGCTAAAGATGTTGTGAGGTAATAGGATGATGAAACAGTAGGAAAAAGAATATTGGGTGAATTTATGGAATAGATTAAAATAACATTTAATTTGTTATAATGTAGACTCAATCTTTATAACAAAGAAAATATATCAGTTTCCATGGAATCAATGAATACAGTTGCTTTATTTAAAAATTTTGACTGACTAAAATTTAGCTTTTAAATTAGATGCATTGTGTCAAGTAAAAATAGTTATGTGAAGAATTGGGATACCTATTTTTTGTCTTTGTTTCTTTGTCATAGAGAGAAGAACATTTCAATCCTGATATTTACCATAACTAATAATTACTGGATAAAAGGAGAAGTCACATGAATATACTCTAAACTAGGGTCCCACAAAGGTAATATTTAAACTGAGAAAATTTAATCTTTTCTACCAACACCTCACCCCTGACTTTTCTTGCAATTTCACTGCCATTTACATCTAAAGCTTTAGTTTTCTACTCATAGGTGTTCTACTGTAAACAATCAGTGTTAGTTGATATGTTAATTCATAATAAATTTAGATACTTTATACTATCTACCTCCTATTAGTGTGTTATGTAATTTTTAAACATTTAACAAAACAGGCAATGCTCAACAGAAACATGATAAATGTTCAGTACTAGCAACAGGGCTTTTTTGTTTGTTTTTGTTTTTGCTATAGGGTGTGTGAGAGATCTCTGAGAGAGACAGACAGAAAGTGATAAATCACCCCCTTAGGGGAAAGGTCACACAACAACCCCCGTTCCTCCATTCTCTTCTTGGGATTTCAGGTGCACACATACATGTGCCCAATATGATTTCCAGGTTGCTGGATTTGGGACTCAAACCATGGTCAACTATGTGGAAGTCCTGCGCCTTAACCACCGTGCCACTTGCTAGCCTGTAATAAGACTTCAAACATACTTTTTCATGGAATATTTCAATAGCACCTTTCTTATTATACTATATAGTGTGTTCTATTTGTCATAGCCATTATAATTACCCTGTCTTCACCACAATTCATAATACATAGGCCATAAGAGGAGGTCTTTGCATCATGGGGCTCATATCTAAGGAGATGAAATAGAGGTGTGTATCATTCTTCAATACTATATTTTGAGCAGAAAGCATAAATTACTTATTTTTTAATAGACAAAGAACTCTTGAAAGTATGGCTTGAAGTTTTTTTGAGTATGAGGATTATATGACTCCCAGCATGTGAAATAGCATTTTATTGTTTCTTTTGTAAGGGGCAGTAAGTGCCTGGCAAACAGGAAAAGCAATAGGTTGGACAACAAAGTAGTCATGAACTGCTTTGTACAGGACAATGAGCTCAATGGGATTGCATCAGTTGTGTTTACTGTTCAACATCTGTTTGAACAGCGTGGCTTGCTTAGTTGTATACTAAGAGGGTTTTCTCTTGTTTGTACAAAGAGAACAAATATTTTCTTAGTTTTTCCTTAGTTATTAAGCTTCGATGAAAACATAACTTTAAGGACGGCCATAGAAACTCCAAATCAGAGAGCTGAAAAAATCTGGATCTTCTTTATGATAGTAGTTAGATACTGAGCAGATTGTCTGGCACCTACTATACTATCTGCCTAGTAGTGAGAATAATAATCCAGTTCTATTTAAATTAAAACTGATCCTAAAGTACAATAACTTGGAGATGGTAATAACTGTAGGTCTGTTAAAATAATCTGGATGATCCATCTTTTTTCCTTTCACTGGGCTTTCAAATGCACATGATATTCTATTTTTTTAAATCTATCATGAGTCCATAGAGGGACTCAATGGATGTAAACAAAAAGTATATTTGAATATTAACTTTTTGAAAACAAAGCAATAGCATTGGAAATAAATATCAACCTCAGTGGGTTAAAAATAGTCAACATATAAATGAAAAATATTTAACCATTAGCAGCCTATGTTAATAAAAAACTTGTGTAAAACAGAATTTTAACATACTCTAAAATAAAATTAAAGTTAGAATAATACAGGTCTGGATTCTCCACTGTGTGAAAATTCTTCTGTTTAAGATTAACTTAATTTTGTAAAGACATAGACATTATAGATCGAGTTGTGTATGAAGATGGTGTGAATCAATTTTTATTTTGCATAATTAATTTGGAAGCAGTGTGTATGATGTTTATAGTAGATGGAGGTTACATAAGGGAAATTTACAAGAAAACTATCATTCTGCATAAGATGAGAATGAGAGTAAGTGTAAGTGTGAATGAAGACCAAGGGCAAGATGAAAGATAAATAACAGTACAAATACAGGAAAAGGATTTATTCTGTGAAGTGGTGAGGAGGAGGGAAATATCAAACATGATTCATTGAGACAGTGGAAAAGTTTTTGTTCCATTGAAAGAAATAAACAAGTCAGGAGAGAATTCATTTTGTGGAGAAGTGAATAATCATTGGTAAGGTATTCGGGAAACATTCATTAAATTTTTGCAGCATTTATCTGGAACTTTGGAGAACTCTAGGAGATAAATGTAAAGTCAAGAATGAGCCACCTAGAGTTGGTGATAATTAGAGTTAAAGCTAAAAGGCCAGGTCCAGAAAAACTGTGGAAATAAAAATGTGAGTCCTGAGCCCAAAACCTTACACAATGTTCCTAGTAACAGTAGGTTGAAAGGGAAAAATGCAAATAACAAGATGCTATTACAATGTCTCCCACTTCCCAACAGTGGTTGAAGAGACCAAGATCTATCACAAAGACAAAGGATCCTCAAAGGGACATCCAAGTCCTCACATCTATTAGAAGTTGTCATGAATATATTTAAGTCTGATTTTGAGGAAGGGGTGTGAAGAGAAATTACATTTGCTACTTTATCTGTGTCAAGGCAAAGTTCATCTTTTTAATAACATCCATACAACTGTAGTACAGTATTACCAATAACAGAACAAATATTAGGTCATTGAGCAATTTAAGATCAACCTGTTATGTATATATAATATATATATATATAATATATGTATGTTTATATATATATGTATGTGTGTGTGTGTGTCTATCATTACAAAAAGCACATACCTTCTAAATACAATCATGTTTAAAACCTAGGTCCTCTAACTTTTTACATTTCCACAAAACCCTGCCCCTTTTCGATCATTCCTTATGTAATTGATTTATGTCTTCTGTCAAGATCAGCCTAAATGATATATTTAAAGTAGCTTTTAAAGTTTTCAATCATGCTTTCCTTATTGTTTTCGTTTTACCTAAATATTGTCAACTACCATGATCTTCTTAACCAGGAATCAAGGTAAGTTGGTAAAGATGTAGAACTCCTATAAATTACACTGTATTACCTATAGGTTTAACTGACTGCTGGAGAAAAACTATTTTCTCATTAAGGCACTGGATGGTCTATCAGTAGCACCATAGATATAATGCATATTGAGATCAAGGCTGTCCTCTTGGCCTCATGAATGATTTAAAGATCCAGGATAAGATTAACAGGTTGAAAGGTTTTTACCAGCAACTCGCTGAACCTCCTTGTCCAGGGAGTGTTACAACAACAGCAACCCCAATCAACCACAAAAGTCGGGTCTTGATGTAAAATACAAGAGGCTTCATTGCTAGCGCGCTAGGACTCCACTCTCAGTCATGCAAGACATGGCTAAGAGTGAAGCCCCGAACAAAGGAGTATTCAGGTTATATAGACATGAGTCCATGGGGTGAGGGGAGGAGAGAGTGAGGAAGCAAGATAAGGGGTATCAAGGGTAATTTTATGGTGACCCTGAAGTTGCTTGCTCAGGCAAGACAAAAACGTTTTTCTTTACAGTCGTAGCCATTTGGTTAGGTTTGCAGGAGCATTTGATCTGGGTTTCCCGGGCTAGCAGAAGGGGGGAGTTTTACAATACAAGGGTGCTAAACTAGCTTGCCAGACTAGTTTGCAAATGGCTCCGGGCTTCCTGCAAGGTGTTAACGAATTACCCCAGGTTTCCACAACTTCAGCAGCATCTGCTTTAGTACAGAAGCGAAAGAGGCAAAGGTTAGACTTTATCTTTGGAAGACAGGCTAATCTAATTTTATTCTTACAAGGTCATATACAATATGTTTTCTTAAAAAGTTATTCTGTGGTTATTCAACAGCTCCTGTTTTCTTCTTCTTCTTCTTTTTTGTTTTCTTCATGATTCTTTTTGCAGATAAATAATCCTCACATTTTTAAATGGAACCAGATAACCAGACATGGGCAGGAGAATTCATTCTTCTTGGCTTATCCCGTTCCTGGGACACTCAAGTTTCCCTATTTGTCCTGTTCTTGGTCATGTACCTGCTGACTGTCCTGGGGAACTTTCTCATTGTTCTCCTGATCAGACTGGACAGCCGACTCCACACCCCCATGTATTTCTTTCTCACCAACCTCTCCCTTGTTGATGTCTCTTATGCCACAAGCATAGTCCCTCAGATGCTGGTGCATTTTCTTGCAGAACATAAAGTAATCCCATATGCAAGCTGTGCAGCCCAGTTATTTTTTTCCCTGGCTTTGGGTGGGATTGAATTTGTTCTACTGACAGTGATGGCCTATGACCGCTATGTGGCTGTGTGTGACCCCCTTCGATACTCAGTTATCATGCATGGAGGGCTGTGTACCAGGTTGGCCATCACGTCCTGGGTCAGTGGCTCCATCAACTCCCTCATACATACTACCATCACTTTTCAGCTTCCTATGTGCACTAACAGGAATATTGACCATATATCATGTGAAATTCTAGCTGTGGTCAGGCTGGCCTGTGTGGACATCTCCTCCAATGAGGTTACCATTATGGTTTCTAGCATTATCCTTCTGATGACACCCTTCTGCCTGGTTCTTTTGTCCTACATCCGAATCATCTCGACCATTCTAAAGATCCAGTCCACAGAGGGCAGGAAGAAAGCCTTTCACACCTGTGCCTCTCACCTCACAGTGGTTGCCCTGTGCTATGGCATGGCTATTTTCACATACATCCAGCCCCGCTCTAATCCCTCAGTCCTTCAGGAGAAATTGATTTCCCTCTTCTATGCCATTCTGACACCCATGCTGAACCCCATGATTTATAGTCTAAGGAATAAGGAGGTGAAGGGAGCCTGGCAGAAACTATTAAGAAATTTTTCTGGATTAACATCAAAACTGGCAGCTTGATGATTTATGAGCATCACTGAGAGAAGAGAGCTTTGCCTTTGTGTTCTTCACCCAACTCAGAGACGACAGGCTCAAACTGCATTGCCTTGGCAACCAGGAAGAAGATGATGTAACATATACTGGTGATGTAAGATCAGAGGCTGAGTGGTTTTATTTGCTGTGGGATGTTGGAGTATTTTTATGTCGTGGTGGTATGAACAGTGGAAGTGCGCACTGCAACATTAGACCCTGTCCTACTTACTTATCTCCATTCTCATGATAGTTATTGAATCAATCACTATACAAAATGGATGTTTATTTTGTTGGAGTTCTATGGTTTGCGAGCTTTCTAAGTAAATCATTGAATTAAGCTGCTTAAGTCAATCTGATTCTCAAAATGTATTTTTGTTTATTTCATAAATATGTTCTCTTATTGTTTGTGTAGTCACTATTTCCTGACTTTTTTTTTTTGAGCTTTCTACATATTCCTAATTATAGTGTAGCAGCATAATAAAATATTAAATGCAGTCCTGGATAAGTTACAAAACTTATATAAGACCATTCTTTTATGAATTTATTTTATATTCATTCAATGAGCATCATCATAGCACACAAGATGTGATTTTTCATCCAGAATACACTGAATAGTGGCTTAATCATACATATTATCATCAACAAGTAATTTTCCATTTATTTTTCACCCTCTGCCATTTCTCATCCTCCTCCCACACTGTCTCTGGTATCTACAGTTGCTTTCCATTCCTCCACCCCATTTTATTAATTCACAAAATATCTAAATTAACTATTCTCAATAGCAAATTCAGCTGATATATACATATTTGTGAACATATGTTTGACTTTAGGCATGACACTGAGTAGAATGAATATACTATAAAGTAGCACTTAACTGACGCTATATAGCTTACTGTGGTCATTAAACAGGTATTTTTAAACATATTTTTTAATTTCAAGAAAAGTCATTTCAGCTTTAATAAATCAAAATTTTAAAAATGCTAAGAGAGTTTTGCTTATAACCTAAAGCTAGGAAAAAGGTTAGGATTCTGTTCAAATAGTAGGTGCATGAACCTATTGGCAGCTCAAGACAAGAGAAAAATGCTTAAACCTGGAAAACGAAGCATAGAAGAAAATCAGTAATATTTTCGTCAAAAGTTGTAAGATTCTATTTCAGCAGTTCAGTCTCATGTACTTAATCTATCTTCTTTTGTGGTCCAGTCTTCCTGTTTAAATTCTGGAACATTTAACTTGAGACTTGTCCCTACCATTAAGTTGGCTATTTTCTTAGTTGTTATTGAACTCTTATTTCTGTGTGTCTGCATTTAGTTTTCCTGATATAGGAAAACTCCCTTCAAAATGTTTTGGAGAGCTGGGCTGATTTTGGTAAATTCTCTATTTTTTTTTTAAATTTTTAATATTTTATTTTTTTCTCCTGAAACATTTTTTAAAATTAAATAATTAATTTACATTTATTCCCTGAGCATCATCACAACATACAAAGTGTGATTTCCCATCTAGACTATACTGTCTGTATTTAATTTTCCTGGTATAGCACTCCCTTGAGAACTTCTTGGAGATCTGGTCGGGTGCTGGTAAATTCTTTCAGGCTTTGTTTATCTAAGAATGTTCTCATCTTTTCTCCCATATGAAGGATAATCTTGCTGGGTACAGTATTCTTGATTGAAATGGCTTTTCCCTTAACACCTTGAATATATTTTCCCATTCTTTCCTTGCTCGCATCAGTTCCAATGAGAAGTCTGCTGTTAGCCTGAGAAATGTCAAGATAACTTGACATTTCTCTCTTGCCAATCTTAGTATCTTGTCTTTGTGATTTTGGTCAATCTGCCTATAATATCTCCTGGAGAAGATTTTCTTGGGTTGATTCTATTTGGGGTCCTTTACACTTCTTAGGACTGGATTTCTGAATGCCTCTTTTGGTTTGGAGATTTTTCTTGCAGGATTTCATGGAATAGATGATCAATGCCCTTATGAGTCTCTTCACCTCCTGGAATACCAGTTATCCAGATGTTCAGACATTTGATGGTATCTAGTATTTCTCATATATTATTCTCATTTGGGGTCCATTTTCTCAATCTGCATGGTGGATTTTTCTAGGCCAGCAATTCTATCTTTTACATCTGAAATTTGATTTTCTGTATGATTAATTGGTACAACTGTTTGGGTAAAGGACAATACTAGCCAAAGTGGACATGCACTTAGACTGCTATGCAGCAATTGCATTTGTAGGCAACAGAACATATGTGGAACAAAGAATGAAGATCAAAATGTGTGTGTTTCTAAATGTTCATAACAGTATTGTTTTTAAATCACAAACTGGAAACAACCCAAATGTCTATCAATAGTCATTTGTATCAATAGAATAAGATGACAACTCACTAGATACTAAAACAATTAAGTAAATCAGCAGGACCCTGTTAAAAGGGTGGTTCTAGGAGCCAGCAGGTGGTATGGAGTTTAAATCACTACATGACCAGCTGCTCAGTTTGAGTCCTGGGTTGTGTGTGTGAGTGTGTTCATGCCCAGAATCCTGAGAGGAGAATGGAAGAAAAGGGATTGTAGCATGACCGTCTCCCCTGTGGGATGATTTACAACTTTCCTTCTGTTTCTCTGTCTGTCACTCTCTGGCAAGCCCATATGCTCTATAGCAAAACAAAACAAAACAATGTTATTCAATAGTGAGACAGAGTGGGACAAGTTGTACAAAATAGTTGCATAAAGAGAATGTTTGATAATAAATCATGTACAACTTACATGTCAAAATCCTGAAGAGACTGGAGAAAGAATTGCTGCATGGGGCCTTCTCCCCTAGATGATGATTTCTCATTTTCCTTCTCTCTGTCTGTTTCTGGCAAGTACGTGCAGCAGGTGGCAAACCCTTAAAAATGAAATTTTGTTCAAAGTTTCTATAGACAATTTATAAATAATTAAAAATATTGAGTGCATGAGCAGAAGTCATGCATAAGTTATAACTTTCTCAAAGTAAAACTTCGACAAAGAGTTAAAATGTTTCCTGTAGAATTGAGGCTTTGGATTTCTTCTCATGTTTTTAGGTTAAGAAAAGTTAACCTGTGTAAGGCCTTTCAAGGTGAGAGAATGACCCTATCTTCCATAAATTTATGAATTAAGGAGAAAAACTGAAGGAGAAAAAGTACTAAGGGATTTATTTAAGTGATAGCCTATTCCAGGGTCTTCAAGAGTTTCCCTTGTGTTTTCTACCAGTAGATATATAGTTGGAGACTTTACATTGAAATCTTTGATCTATTATGAGTTGATTTTTGTTAATTATGAGACATAAGGGTCCAGTTTCATTTTTTGAAGGTGGAATCCAGTTCTTCCAGCACCATTTTCTGAAGGCTTTTTTTCCCCTCCGCTATATCATCATTTATATGGCCTTTGTCAAATATCAGTTGGCTGTATGTTTTGGTGTTTATTTCTGGATTCTCTATTCTGCTCCATTGGTTTATGTGTCTTTTTTGTTTGTTTTTATATATTTTTTAATTTCAATTTCTTTTTTACATTCAATCACATATGTCACTTAGCTTGCAAAGTGAATATTCCAACATGTACACATTTCTTACCAGTCCAGTTGAAAATACTATACACATTACCTTCAACAGATAATAACTTATTTCTTTGTCCCATAAATGCCTTGCCTCTCTATTTTTCTCTTTAATGTCTTTACTCAGACTCTCCTCTTTCACTCACCCATAGAAAATGATTACAAATACCATGCTGTTTTGATTACCATAGCTCTGCAATATATTTGGAAGTCAGGTAGTGAGATACCTTCTATCTTATTCTTTTCGTATGTATTGCCTTGGTAATATGGGTCTTTTATGATTCCAGATACATTGTATGATTTCTAATTCTATTTCTGTGAAGAATGTCCCAGTAATTTGATCAGAATTACATTGAATTTGTAAATTAGTTTGGGTAGAATTGACATTTTGACTATATTGAAACTTCCAATACAAGAAAACAGGATATTTTTCCATTTGAAAAAAATTATACTGAATTTCTCTTTTCAGTTTTTCATAGTTTTCCTTGTAAAGATCTTTCATTTCTTTGGTTAGGCTTATTCCTAGGAATTTTATTTTTTGTGGCGATTGTAAATGGGATTGTTTTTTCAGTTCTGTCTCGGTCCATTGATTGTTGGTGTATAAAAATGCTTTTTATTTTTATATATTGATTTTGTAATCTGCCACTTTACTGAATTAATTTATCCCTATTAGGAGATTTTTTTCATATGTTCTTTTCAGTTTCTATGTATATAATTCTATCTTTTGTGAACTAGGGCTATTTGGTTTTTTCTTTTCCTATTTTAATGCCTTTTATTTTACTACCTTGTCTGATTATATTGGCTAGGACTTCCAGTACTGTGTTGAAAATAAGACCTCCAAAGCACAGGCAACAATCCCTAAAATATTGGGACTATATGCATGGGACCATATCAACCTAAAAAGCTCCTGCACAGCAAAGGAAGCAATAGAGTGAAGTGACATCCCTCAGAATGGGAGAAAATATTTTCACACTATGTAAATATGTGTAGATGTTTTTAACTTTGCCAGGCCAATGAGTGACTGATAGTTAGAGCATAGAGGGAACTTAGACAGCTCACCCACACTAAAAATTGAAAAACACACTGGTGCTTGTCCACTTGTACCAAAAATATCCCGAGACAATGGAGAACAGATTGTTGTATGACCATTCCCACCTGGGAGGGAGGTTAATTTTTCACTTTACTTCTCTCTGGGGCAAGTGCATGTTTCATATGGCAAAAATCTTTGAAATAAATAAATAGGAAAAAAATCAGATCATCTGAATAGATAATTCTGTAAGGTAGACATACAAATGACCAAAATGCATATGAAAAAGTGTTTCACATCTCTTATTGTAAGGGAAATGCAGATCAAAACCACAGTGAGACACTATATAACCCTAGTCAGAATGGTTATGATCAAAATAGAAGAATGACAGAAAAGTAC